CCTTTGTTTTGGAGATGGGGGTGGGAGGGATGGTTTCTCAGTTCAATTGCCCTCCCAGAGTAAAGTGGGCGTTTGGGTGGCCCTAGGAATTCCGTTTGCGCACAAGACCCAGGCTTCTGGGAGATTAAGAAGAAGGAATTTATTTAACTTGCAAATTTGTTTTAATAAAGTAATATTTACTCATTGTTGAAAGGGCAAATGAACAGAAGCTTGAAAGAAAATGCTTGCCCACAATCCGCCACAACTAGAAGTCTCTGACACTGGCTATTCAATTTGTTACTTAAAGGTATTGAGTGCTTTTAACTTTTTAAGATCTTCCCTTAATTCAAGTAATAAATGTTACTATAGAAAAATCAGAAAATGCGGTTCGCCAAAAGAAAACAATTTTAAGTCATAATCCCACTATCTAAAGATAATTTTTTAAATCTGATATTTCTTTGACTACTAATACATTTGAACAATTTCCTGTGTTTGTTATTTAGATTTCTTTGGTGAATAATCTGTTTTCATCTTTTGTATATTGTTATTGGATATCTCATGGTGTCTGATCAATCTGTTGTGTGTGTGTGTGTGTGTGTGTGTTAGAGAGAGAGAGAGAGAGAGAGAGAGAATAACTTATATTGGTTACTTGTAGCAAACTTTTTTCCCCCAGTTTGTGGTTCGCTCTTAAATATTTTAGTGTTTTTGATCTATGTCTACTTTTCCCCTTCAGAATTTCTTTACTGTCTTTTATGTTTAGAAAGTATTTCTCTTACAGAAATCAAAAATTTTCTTTTAGCTTTAATCTCTTTCTCTCTCTTAACCATTTTAAAGCCTAAAACTGAAAGTGGGAAACTAACCCAGTGTTTTTCCAGATACTTAAGCAGTTGTGTTCCTGCAGCATTTTTTAACTCAGCCCTCCGCTGTTCCTGTGTCACCAAGGCCAGTGTCACCTCTGCTCCAGGCCAACCTCCAGGAGACAGACAGACACACACACACACACACACACACACACACACACACACGCCCAGCCCCATAGTCCCCTGGCCACCAGCGCTCACACAAAAGGACTAGCAAACAAGGTGTGACTTCTGCTGTCGTGGAGAAGGTGAGGGGTGTACCTCTGAGACATCAGCGTAAACAACTTAAACATTCCCTCTAGATATTTCTCTTTTCCCTGAGCCTCACCTGCTGCACCCCCAGGGGGGCCCTGACCTTCCTCCCGTTGGGGCGTTGGGGCGCAGCCACCACTAGCTCCATATTCATTTCCCAGGGACTGCAAACCCCGCCCCCTCTCCTGCAGAACAACTGGGCTCTAGTAGGCTCTTGGCCCAAACCCAACTCTTCCCAAACAAAGGCCTGCAGGCTAATGGCATCCACCTCCTTAGAAAGCAGAGTAACAACTGTCTTTTGTCATTTAAGAATGCCTTTGGGGTCTCAGCCCCCATCCCATGGGGCTTATTAACCTCTTTCTTCCAAACAAACCCAGCGTCCTAAGTGGAATTCCCATACCATCTGCTAATGGAGCCCTGGTTGCTCCATCTCCTTAAGTGTCTTGAACATGCAGGAAGTGGGAGTTCTGGGAAGATGGAGAATCTGGAGGTCCCCTTGGAGCAGTGGTGTTCAGAGAGGCCACCGGGAGCCCAGAGCTGGGAAGGGGCGCCCTGCGGAGCAGCCAGCCAAAGACTTAGGCCCCAGGTGTCTTCCCAGGCCCACCCCAAGGTGGTCTCACCAGCAGGCGGGGCCTAAGTTTGCCACCCTTTGCGAGGTGGACAGGACCATAGGGGACAAGCAGACAGGGCCACAGAGCTCCAAAAAGTTCCAGGCCCACACTCCCAGGAGCAGCCACGGGAGGCCGGGGGGTGGCCAGATCCCAGTCACCATCCCAAAGTGGCAGCATCGGAGACTCAGGAGGGTTGGTACACCCCAAATGTGATCACTCAGATTTGTGGAAGCGAAGTTCTGACCCGCTTTCTAAAGGGGTCTTGGTCCCACAGTATCAGTTTTCACAGTTGCGCAGTGGTTGGGAGCATGGACTTGGGCCAGGAAGCTTGGCTCTCATCCTAGTTCTTCCCGCCTGGCCGAGCCACAGTTTCCTCATCTGTAAAATGGGGGTAATAACAGAACTTACCGCAAGGCATCATTGGGAGGATTAGGCAACACACTGAACGCATGTTCACAGTGAAGACTCAATAGCTGATCATCACCAGCAGACTAGGGCTGCTGTGCAAACCAGCACTGACTGGATGCCTTATACCTGAAAGTTATCCTCTCTCGGTTCTGGAGGCCCAGAGTCCAAAGGTGTCAGCGAGGTCACGGCCCCCTGGTGGCGCTGGGAGAGGAAGCTTCCCTGACCTCCTCCACCCCCGGGGCTCCAGGCACTCCTCAGCTTACACCACCATAGTCTCCGTGTCTTCTCCCTTCTCCTTCATCGTGTCATCGGTACCCATGGGATTCTAATGTATGGAAGTGACCGAGAGGGTGACGGGCATGCCCCACCCCACAGAGCCGCGTGGGGAGCCTCAGGGTGGCTAGGAGGCAGGAGGCAGGAGCGAGAGGGCCCAGGCCAGCACCTTCGTGGGAGTTTCCAGGGGAAAAGCAAGACAGGCAGAGCACATGACCTCGGATCGGTTAGTGTGAATAATTCTGTGGACTCTGAGCAATAGCGGGGTCTCTAGTTGCCTGGTACCTGGTCCTGGGGTGACTTAGGGCAGGGGCAATGCTGGCTTGGTAAGAATTAGATAAGAAGGTAGGTAAGGCTCAGCCTTGGATCAGCCCACCTGCCCAGGAAACGAGAGCTCCAGGCAAGCTGACTTACAGGAGGGAGAAATACTTTTGGCCTTGTGATCAATGGTTGCCTGCCAAGTAGACATACAGAACCTAAGAAAACACAGTGAAAATACTTCTCTCTTATAAAGACACCAATCACTGGGTTTAGGACCCACCCTAATTCTAAATGATCTCAAAACCCTTAATTTAATTACATCTGCAAAGACTTAGTCACATTCACAGATTTGAGGGGTTAGGATATGGACATATCTTTTGGGGGGCCACAATTCAACCCAGTTGGCTAGATTGGGTTATAGTTCTGTTTGCTAGTGTAAACTCTGGGGAAGAAATGACAATTTTCGCTTTTTCAGATGATGAGCCCTGCAGTGCTCAGTCTGCAGTGGTGGCTTCAGCTGAACGCCGGAGCCAAGGGAGGAATCGAAGGGAGGGTGTGGGAGGGACTCTGCGGGGTGATTTCTGGACCAGTGTGGACAGAGGTCTTGGGACAGAGAGGTCTGAAGCCCAGGCAGGAGGGAGGTGACATGAGAACAACGACCTCGGTGGCCAGAGGAGCCGGGCTGCTCCGGGGGAGGTAGGGTGGCGGGGCCTCCACTGCGCAGGTGCTCTGGACGACTTTCAGGCAAGGCTGCTATTCCTTAAGCTGCCTGTGACCACTTGTAATGAAAAGCCCCGGCTCAACTTGCTGAATCAATTCGGAAGCAAATTCCTTCCCAGCACGGGTAGTCTTCCGGCTGGGGGCGCTACAGGTGCCGTTTGATCAAGGCTTTGCCCTACTTTTTTGTGATTGCCCTGGCTCCATCATCCTCTGCGTGGGGCTTTTTCTCAGGCCAGGTGCCCTCATGGCCACAAGAGGCCCAACGAGACATGCTTGTGCACAGGAGCAGAGGAGGACCCCATCTTCTGCTAAGGAGCAAGGAAACCTCCCAGAGGCCTTAACAGACCTCACTTTGTTGTCATGACCCCATGGCCAGCATCGCATGAAGGCCTAGTCCTGATCCAGTCACCACTCGGGGAAATGTCTTAGACCATCATGACCCATCCCTCAGGCTGGACTGGGGCCAGACTCCCTATCTCACTATGCCCCCTCCTTGCTATGGGTGCTCCAAATCAATGATTCCATCTGCACATACTACTAGTGCAGCATGGGGTCTGGGGTAACCCATCTCAAAAGCGAAAAGAGTGGGAGGGGCCACCTGATCACCCAGGGAGCCTGGCA